CAGGCTGGTCTTGAACTCCCGACCTCAGGTGATCCACCTGCCTTGGTCTCCAAAGTGCTTGGATTACAGGCGTGAGCTACTACTGGTCATGTATATTTAATGTAATTATTGCTATGTTAGGGCTCAAGTCTGCGATTTTATATTTTATTTTTTGTTCTTCTTTTCATTGCTTTGCTTTCATTTTCCTATGCTGTGGATTTTTAAACCCACATTTAACATTTGTATTAATTATATATAGTTTTTTTTTTAGATGGAGTTTCGCTCTTTCGCTCAGGCTAGAGTGCAGTGGCGTGATCTAAGCTCACTGCAACCTCCGCCTTCCAGTTTCAAACGATCCTCCTGACTCAGCCTCCTGAGTAGCTGGGATTATAGGCACCCACCACCATGCCTGGCTAATTTTTTTGTATTTTTAGTAGAAACGGGGTTTCACAATGTTGGCCAGATTGGTCTCAAACTCCTGACCTCATGATCTGCCCGCCTCAGCCTCCCAAAATACTGGGATTACAGGCGTGAGCCACCGCACCTGGCATGGTTTTGAGTGTATCCTCTTCCATAGCATTTTTAGTAGTTGTTCTAGGTATTACTACTTTATGTAGACTTAACCTGTCCTAGTCTACTAGTGTCATCACTTTTCAGTAAATATTAAGTGTGGAAACCTTACCTCCTTTCATATCTCTTCTCCTTCATTTATAATATAATTATCTTAGATATTTTCTCTACATACATGTAGAACTGCGTCAGCAGAGTTATAAGTTTGCTTCAACCATCAAATATAATTTAGAAGACCCAAGAGGAGTGGAGTCTGATGTGAAACCCAGATTCTTGCTTTCTGCGTTCTTTCTTCCATCTTGGTGTTCTAAGATTCCGTCTTTTCTTGTTTCCTTTCTGTTTAAACTACTTTCTTTGGCCAATTTTTTCGGGCATGTCTGCTGGTGACAAACTTAGTTTTCCTTTACCTGGGAATCTCTATTTCCCCTTCATTCCTGCAGGACATTTTTGGTGGATAGAAGATTCTGATTAGACAGAATCCTTCTCTTTCAGCTCTTGAAAAGTGTTTTGCCACTTCTTTCTAGCCTCCAAGTTTTCTAATGAGAAATCCTATCATTTGAATTGTTTTCCCTATAGGTAAAGTGTCACTTTGCAATGGCTGGTTTTAAGATTTTTTCTTTGATTTTATTTTTTAGAAGTTTAATTATATGTTTTGGCATGGATTTCTTTGGGAATATCCTGTGGATTCGCTCAGCTTCTTGAATGAATGAACCCAAAGGGGTTTTGTCTTTTACCGTATTTGGGAAGTTTTTAGCTAAGCATCTTTTCAGCCACCCTCTTTGTTCTCTGCTTCTTTGATTGCATCCATATGTAAGTGAAATCTTTGATTATAATTATCACTTGTCCCCTGAGTCCCTGTTCATTTTTTATTTTCTTTCTATTCTTCCAATTGATTAATTTTTGTTGTTCTGTCTTTAAATATACTGATTCTCTGCCCCTCCATTCTGCCATTGGGACTATCCATTGAACGTTTTTTGATTTTTTAAAAAATTTCTATTTGGTACTTCTTTACATCTTTAGTTTTTGGCTGAGACATTGTATTTTGTGATTTACTTTTTAAAATTTGTCTCTATCATGTTCTTAGTTGTTCGTTGAAATTGTTTGGGCCAGGTGTGGTGGCTCATGCCTATAATCCCAGCACTTTGGAAGACCAAGGTGGGCAGATTCCTTGAGCTCAGGAGTTCAATCAAGACCAGCCCAGCCAACATGGTGAAACCCCATCTCTATTAAAAATACAAAAACTAGGCTGGGTGTGGTTGCTTACACCTTTAATCCCAGTACTTTGGGAGGCCAAGGCAGACGGATCATTTGAGGTCAGGAGTTTGAGACCAGCCTGGCCAACATGGTGAAACCCCATCTCTACTCAAAATATAAAAATTAGCCGGGCATGGTGACGCATGCCTGTAGTCCTAGCTACTCTACTCGGAAAGCTGAGCCAGGAGAATTGCTTGAACCCGGGAGGTGGAGGTTGCAGTGAGCTGAGATCGCGCCACTGCACTCCAGCCTGGGCAACAGAGTGAAAGAAAAAAAAAAAAAGAAATTGTTTGATGATGACTCTGTTCAAATCGTAGGTGATTCTAACATCTTGGTCATCATGGTGTTGACGTCTGTTGCCTGTCTTTTCTCATTCACTGTGAGATATTCCTGGTTCTTGTTATGAATTATATTTTATTGTTCCCAGGACATTTTGGGTATTGTGAGAGCCAGGATCTTATTTAAATCTTCTGTTATAGCAGACCTTTTGTAGACATTGTTCTGGTGAGGGAAGGGGAGGGCACCACCTTGTTATTGCTGGCGGAGGTGGAATTCCTTTTCTCACTCAGGTGTCCACTATGACTGGGATTAGGGGAAGGGACTGATGCATTACCTTCCAGAGAGGAGGACATTTTGGATTCCCTCTGGGGCCTTTGCTGAAACCTCTGGGATGGGGTTGGATTCTAGGGCTCATTACAGCCTGGTGAGGGTGAGGGTGGGGCCACAGTGTTTTCTCTGGTGTTTGGCTGTAGTAGAGCAGTTTTTGTCTTTTTTATCTTGATAGGCTACCTCTTTCCTGGTCTTTTGGTAGAGAGCAGCTTTTGTCAGGCTTTTGTTATCAAACTCACCCCTTAAAGTTTTGAGGTTGCTGGTTCTTCTGCTCCAAGTCTGCGGTATTTGAAGCAAAAAAAGAAACCCAGGGAACTCCCTGCTTTGTTTTACCTGAGACTTCGTAGCTGGTCTGCCGTATTCTCTCCACCTGTCAGAGTTGTCTTATGACTGTTTTGCATGTAATGTCTAGGATTTTTAGTTGTACTTATTGGGGGAATAGGGAAGAATATGTCTATTCCACTTTCACAAAGCACTCATCTATAGATTTAATTTCTCAAACAGCTAAAGAACTAGAAGTGTACCAGCCATTCTGAGGCTCAGCATTACAGCCCAATGATAGAAGTGAAGGACCATCACATGGTGAGGTCAAGGAATATCTGTAGGCCCCTGCTTCATAGGGTCTTCATGCTGAAAGATTGCAGCCAATACACAGTCCTCATCTAGGGGCATACACTGGACTGATTCGTTTCACCATCAAAATATTTTCCCAACAAAATATGCACTGTTACTCTGGTTCTTGATTAGCTGCACCTGGCCTGAGATTTTAAGTCAGGAAAAATTTCTCAAAGATGATTCTGTTTTTCTCCATAAATGCTATAGGGCAATTGCCCAAAAGCCAGGCCATAATGTCAAGAGCCATGAGCTTCACCTAGGCCCAAGTGGTTGCTGTGCCCTCAGTGTTGACAGACTAATAGGAGGGAATGGGTGGGCAGGCTTAACTAAGCCACTACTCCTGTCACCACCCTCCAGGTTAAAAAAAAAAGCCAGATTTGCTTTGTTTTAATGAAACAAACAGGGCTTGGAAAATGTAGAGTTTGCTTTTAAGACTTAAAAACCAAATCCAAACAAACCTCTCCTAAAGCTAAAGCATTAGATAAATAAAGGCTGTAGTTCCCAAACCATGCTTGAATCAGAATCACCTTGGGAGGTTCGTGGACCCACCCTAAAACTCACTGAGTCAGCACCAGGGTTGGATCCTAGAAACAAGCCTTCTCATACATCTCCAAAGAGATCCAAATACACAGTTGTTAATTGTCCGCCACGCTTATGTCTCCCAGTGGCTCCTTTTAGTCTTAATTTGGCCAGGAAACAATGAGAATATTTCATCAGTTCTAGTCAGATGTAGGAGACTTTGCAGAATACCAGTTCACTTTGCACTCCTGGAGCCTGAGAGAATGCTGGTATAAGGTATTCAAGTGCTGGTGACTCCTGAGCTATGCTTTTTGCCCTACTCCAGCTGATAAATTATGTCAGGATAGGTGCCAAACTGGATAAAAGAATATATATTCAATATATATATATATATAGTGTCCCCAAAAGAATATATACAAGTTGTTAAGAACTTGTATTGGCAGGATGGCTTTGAGACTAGTTGTATTTTTTTTTCTTTGTCCTATCTTTTTATTTTACTTTTTCTCTGAGACAGGGTTGCTGTCACCCTGGCTAGAGTGCAGTGACACAGTTCGGCACCGCAGCCTCGACCTCCTCCTCATTTGACAGTCTTCCCCTTTGGTACAGCAAGATGAAACAAGCATGATGCCAGAAAGAGCTCTTCCAGCATTACTCTTTCTCACACTGAGACACGTTTCCAGGTGGTGTCTTCCCCACAGTGCTTCAGCGAATATTAGTGCTTACTCAGTTGGTTCCTACAGGAGTCGGGGGAAGGGAGGGTTGCACCTGTGACTGAGTACCGCCTGCAGAATGGGCTCAGAACGCGAAGTCGGGAATTTCAGAAGAGGATTGTCCTTAATCCAAGGGCAGGGGCTGTTTGCCTGCTGCTCTGCTGCCCCATGTTGCACCCCTGCCTGGAGCTCCCACAGACCAATTGACTTCTGGTGACTATTTCTCCCTCACTTCCCAGTCCCCCTCCCTCAGCTTTTTGACATTCACCACATACATATACTATTGTCATATGATATACCTATGATCTGTTCTTCTGTATCAATTTTACATTTTCTACTTTAATTCCTCCTTAACTGTTTTATTGATTGTTGATTGACTAACCCAGTGCCTTTTTATGGCCCTGTCTTCCCACCTTCAACATTGGCTGTCTTTGGGAGCTTGAAATAAATTTGTCTCTAAATTGTGAATAATTGGTGTACCTAACTCCCACATGCATAATATGAATCGTATTGTGGCTCACCTATGATACTCTAATATCCTCAGCTTCTGTTTATTGCTAAAGTTTGTGTTTCTGGCTGTAAAATATTGCTTATTTTTACATATTTCAGGAGCTTTTTATATGATTTTTTTCTTCTCTTTTTGCTCCCCTGGGGAGTTCCTTCCCCTTTCCATAAACTGTGGTCCCTGCATGGCCGTGTCCTGCCCCTCCTCATCTGGCTTGTCCTGCCCACATCGCCCTGCAGGGTTCTACGGCCTGGACGAGTCTGACCTCGACAAGGTCTTCCACTTGCCCACCACCACTTTCATTGGGGGGCAGGAGTCAGCGCTTCCTCTGCGGGAGATCATCCGTCGTCTGGAGGTAAGAACAATTTCTGGAAAGGTCTAATGGACTTGTTAAGAACTTGTATTGGCAGGATGGCTTTGAGACTAGTTGTATTTTTTTTTTCTTTGTCCTATCTTTTTATTTTACTTTTTCTCTGAGACAGGGTTACTGTCACCCTAGAGTGCAGTGACACAGTTCGGTTACCACAGCCTCGACCTCCTAGTCTCACACCATCCTCCCACCCCAACCTCTCGCAGCTGGGACTACTGGTGCACACCACCATGCCAGGCTAATTTATTTTTTTATCTTTTGTTGTAGATATGAGGTCTTGCTGTGTTCCCCAGGCTGGTCTCAAACTCCTGGGCTCAGGTCGTCCTCCCACCTCAGCCTCTCAAAGTGCTGGGATTACAGGCATGAATCAGTTCTGTCTTTTTAAAAGTTATAAGGGAAGGAAGACTTCTGTTGTTGTTGTTGTTGCCATTTTGTAGATAGAAACCAGTGGTTTTGTGATCAGCCAGAGAAGGGAAATAAACTCTGCTTTCAGATCCCACTGGGAGTTTATTACAGATGGTGGGAGAGTCACCTCAACCCTGAGGGACAGGCCTCAAGTTAGGGGTGGCTTCTTGCACAGCTGAGTGCCAGGGCTGCTGGGTGGTGGCCACTCTCCTTCCCTCTCTCCCTGTTCCTCTCATCCTTCTGTTTTGTTTCATTTTTTTTCCTTCTCTCTGAACTCTGTTAGTACTCAGCCTGCCAGGGAATTCTTTCACATACACGCATTGTAGACAGTGGCTAAGAGTCATGGCTCTGCTTTTAAGCCAACTGTGTCTAGTTCCTCCATCCTGGACAAATCATAGCCTCCCTCAGTACAGGGTGACTTCCAGCCCATTGCAGAGGGGAAAATGGATTGGATGAGAGGTATATGCCAAGAGTTGGCTATTACTGTTAACTTAATGGTGTTCCTGGTGTTAGAGCTAACGGATCGAGGTTAAAATAGACTGAGGAGATACCTTGGAATGGGGCCCTTCAGAATTGAGTATATAGATCACCTGGAGTCCTGCCTATCATACAGAGTCTGAATCTTGACATCCCTAACTAACCCAGGTTGAACCACACTGGTCATCAGGGCTCTCTGAGGCTGTTCCTCTCATGGCTGGATGTTAGAACTACCCAGAGAGCTTGCAGAACTCATACCCAGGCCATAGCCCAGGTGCCCTAAGTCAGAATCCCCGTAGCACCCCAGGAATTAACCCTTGCTCTGCAGCAAGTGAATTTTAATTTAAAATCCTATTGTCAGTTGTTTCACAGTTGGCTGCACGGTGACTTAAAATGATCTCAGTGTCCTGTGCTGGCATTTTCTGTAGTTTGTGATGAGCATCCTGAAGTATTGTCAGCATCTCAGCTTGGAGCTGCTCCACTGCTTGCCTTCCTCACTTACAGGGAAGAAAGGGGTGGAAACCAGACCTCTGTGCCAGCATCAGAAGGTTGTTGGCTAATGGGACATACTGGGCACCAGGAGGGAGTGATAAGTGTTAATCCAAGGAGAATGAACTTTGTGTCCTTCCTGTCACCTTTATCTGCACCACATCATCACACTGACCCTAGTCTCTATTCTGCCTGCTGGCCACATGTTAACTATTGAGCACTTGAAATGTACAAAATATTTGACTTCTAAATGTTGAAAAAATAATGTTTGATATATTGGGTCAAATAAAATGGGAAAATTTCATGTGGGTCTTCTAGAAAAACAAATTACATATGTGGCTCACATTATATTTCTATTGAATGTTGCCAATCTATAGAAGTTTTTGTGTTGCCTGGACCCCCACAAATGGCACCCTATATAGCCTCTCCAAGTAGCCCTGCCCCAAATTATCTCACTGTTGGTGTGTTCCACTCAGTTCTCTCAGTGTATTTCCTGATACAGCAGCCGTCTGGTGAATATAGTCTGCACTGCGAGCGGACTCAGCATTAGCACCTTTTACCTCAGAGGGGTCCTCTTGTGGGGAGTCCAGCAGCAGGCAGCTCAGCCTTTTTTTTTTTTTTTTTAAGACCGGTTCTCACTCTCTGTTGCCCAGGCTGGAGCGCAGTGACACAATCACGGCTCACTGAAGTCTCAACCTCCTGGTATAAAGCAGTCCCCCTACCTAAGCCTCCCGAGTAGCTGGGACTATAGGAGAGCACTACCATGCCTGGCTAATTTTTCTATTTTTTGTAAAGCCGGGATCTCACCATGTTGCCCAGGCTAGTCTTGAACTCCTGGACTCAAGTGATCCTCTTTCCTCAGCCTCTCAAAGTGCAGGGATTACAGGCATGAGCCACTATGCCTGGCCCCAGAAGCTTATTCTTAAACATGGTCTCACAATGGAAAGTTTCCATGGGGTCACTGTCTCCATATCATGCCATGGTGTCACCTCTCGGGGGCCTCTTCAGTACCTTCCTTCTCAAAGAGCAGAATGAGGGGCAGAGGCATTGATGTCCCTATGGCCAACTTCCTCTCTGAATCTTGAATCCCAGGTAGTTCCGATTTCATCATATGAAGGGGTGGAGGGCCTGAAGCATGTTGAAGGCCTGTCTCCCTTTCAGTCCACTTGATGCCAGAGCCCTGGAGTTGGCTCTCATTGTCTGGGACAGTTGGACCTGTACCTTAGGAGTCTCAGGCCATACACCCTCCTGGCCTCAGAGTGGCCCCAACTTGGAAGACTCCATTTCCACAACAGTTTACAGACATTTGCATAAACTCCTCATCTCCCTGCCTGATGGTGATGCTTTACTTACATTGAATGTGTGTGTATGTTAGATTGGTGGTATAATCAGACAGATCTTAAGCTGTTGATCATGTGACATGGTGGTCAATTTGTAGCTGTTTTTAAAAATTAGAGGAGATTCAACTTCTTGGCTTCCTAAAATTTTTCTCATAAGCGGGAAAAGCAAAGAATCAGCCCCTGAAACTTGCTGCCCTTTTCTCCTGGAGACAGAGCCAAGAACAAAGAAAACACAACACGATTCTGTGGCCCAGTAACTACATCTCCAAGTTACTTGCTAAAGTAATACTGATGTTGGAGAGATACTGATTTCTAGAGTTTTTAACCCAATAGTTTCTTTTGTTCAATAATGGAAACTCTGCTGCTGTCAGGTGTAAAAGGGAGAGGAAAGGCATGGGCAGAGCCTGGGCGTAGCACAGTTCTACCAGCTCTGTAATTGGAGACAGCAGTAGTGATGAAGGGAAGAGTTCTTCCCTCACAGCACCCTTCACCCGTTGGCATTTGGGGTCGGGATGATGAGGAGTGGGCAGACAGCCAGTTGCTGGGTTTGCACCACAAGCATGGACCCCATCCAAAGAGGGTGGGTCCTCTTTGAAGGTTCTCATTAACAGCCACTCTGGAGCTGACCTTGTCTTCTTGAATGGGTTTCTGCAGAAATGTAGTTTCTTCTCCTGTTCAGTAGATTGGGCACTGTGGATCACCAAGTGTCTGTAAAGGTGACATGGGACAGTGGACTGATGTCAACTCTGAAGTTAGGGATTGGGGGTGCCCACTACACCCTCTTCTTGGTTTTTTTGTGCATCTAATGTAGAAGTTTATCTTAGTTTTATCTTAGATGTGATTAGAAAATATGGTTTGGGATTGTCTTAGTCCATTTTGTATTGCTATAAAGGAATACCTGAGGTTGGATAATTTATAGTTTATAAAGAAAAAGGGTTTATTTGGCTCACAGTCTAATTGGGCATCTGCATTTGGTGAGGGCCTCAGGCTACTTCCACTCCCAGCAGAAGGCAAAGGGGAGCCTGCTTGTGCAGAGGTCACATGGTGGGAGGGGAAGCAAGAGAGTGAGCCGGGAGGTGCCAGGCTCTTTTTAGCAGCCAGCTCTCCTAGGAACTAATAGAGCAAAAACTTACTCACCTCTGAAGGAGGGCATTAATGTATTCATGAGGGATCCACCCCAGAACCAAAACATCATCCATGTGGGCCCACTTCCAACATTGGGGACCAAATTTCAGCATGAGGTTTGTGGGGGGACAAACAGGGGTTAATAAAAATACCTTAACTACTAGGGTCTTTTCTTTTTTTTTGAGACGGAGTTTCGCTCTTGTTACCCAGGTTGGAGTGCAATGGCGCAATCTTGGCTCACTGCAACCTCCACCTCCTGGGTTCAGGCAATTCTCCTGCCTCAGCCTCCCGAGTAGCTGGGATTACACGCACACGCCACCATGCCCAGCTAATTTTTTGTACTTTTAGTAGAGACGGGGTTTCACATGTTGACCAGGATGGTCTTGATCTCTTGACCTTGTGATCCACCCGCCTCGGCCTCCCAAAGTGCTGGGATTACAGGCTTGAGCCACCGCGCCCGGCCTACTAGGGTCTTTTCTAGCAGCACTTTCTCTTCTAGTTTCTAGGCAAGATTGTTCTTTTGTTGACTTGGATAATAACTAGAGTGTTGCAGTTGGTTAATTTTGAATTCAGGCAAAGTTTGCTTTGTTTCATGATCATGGAGCATGTATGCAGGGTTAGCCCACCCTCTGCAAAGCACAGGGCTGGTCTCAGATTCAGCACATCTTTTAACTGCTCATGCCAGCTGGTCTCATTGTCTGTTGTGAAAACCAAATGTGGTCATAAACGAGAGCTGCTGAGCAGGACCTGACACTCTGAGTACGCTGGCAGCAGTCCCTGCTATAAAGATAGTTAGACGCGGCTTTGGGGTCTGCAGAGTGTCTGTTGGCCCACATCAGGGCCTGTCGCCTTTTTACTCCATGCTGACTTGCAGTTTGCTCTCATCCTTTCATTCTGGTCCTCTAGGGCAGCTGTGCAGGTTGAGCTGTGGGCCTCTACAGGAGCACCAGGCTGAGGGCAGCCTGAGATGGATTTTTTTTTTTTTTTTTGGCAGTCTTTCCTCCTCTCCCGAGGTGGATTTCTAAGAGCCCAGTGCCTCCTCTTGCTCCTGGCCCTCTCTTCCTGGCTTCTTCCCTCCTGAGCTCTGCAGATTGGGTGCTGCCTCCTTGCCTGAGCTGTGGGGTATGAACATGGTGCAGGACATCTTGATCTGCTCAGGATCCTGACTTTTGTCTTATGGGCAGTCTTGCTTCCTGAGGCAGAAGGATCATTTTAGCCGAGGAGTTCAAGACCAGCCTGGGCATCATGGTGAGACCTCATCTCTCCAAAACATAAGGCGGGACGATCACTTGAGTGCAAGAGGTTGAGGCTGCATTGGGCCCAGATAGCGCTACTGCACTCCTGCCTCAGTGACAGAGAGACCCTCCCTCAAACAAACAAACAAACAAAAAGACTGCGAATCGTAAACAGCTATTGAGCCTATGACAGCCTATGGGCATTTCCTGTTATGGATGCTGGCACAGGTCTGACCTTGATGACAGTCTGTCCTCCCTGGGGAAGGACACAGTTCCACAACTGTTGCGGTCTATGCTTCTTGCCACAAAGGTACCAGAGTAGAACTGGGGTTGTTCCTTGTCCTGGCCCTTGGAGGGCTAGGAGGTTCTTGTGTGCAAGTGACCCAGGTCCCTGAAGGAAGCACTTGAAGAGGAGGACCTCTGCCTGGTACCCACTCCGTCTCCCCCTCAGTCATACCTGACTGGGGTACCTTTCAGAACAAGCCTCCTGCTCCCCCTCCCACCTTCTGGCTGAACAGGCAGTCGGTACTCTTGATTCAGCCAGGCCTGGTTAGAAACTCCCTTGCCTGTGTGTTTCTGTATGGAATAGATGGCCTACTGCCAGCACATTGGGGTGGAGTTCATGTTCATCAATGACCTGGAGCAGTGCCAGTGGATCCGGCAGAAGTTTGAGACCCCCGGGATCATGCAGTTCACAAATGAGGAGAAGCGGACCCTGCTGGCCAGGCTTGTGCGGTCCACCAGGTATGGGTCTGGCCCTGGGCCATGGGGCACACATCCCCAGGGAAGCAGCAGCCCTGTGTGTGTTGTTTGGGCCTGTGTGCAGCCTGTTGGTCGAGGTGAGAGGGGCTTTGGGGAGGTATAGGCAAAGCTGCAGCTGCACGTGTCTGAAGAGACACCAGGCAGGTAGAGTCAGCCTTCAGAGCAACCTCCGTCTCCTGAGTTCAAGCGATTCTCTTGCCTCAGCCTCCCAGTAGCAGTGATTGTAGGCACATGCCACTACGGCCAGCTAATTTTTATCCATTTAAGTAGAGATCAGGTTTCTCTATGTTGGCCAGGCTGGTCTCAAATTCCTGACCTCATGTGATCTGTCCACCTTGGCCTCCCAAAGTGCTAGCATTACTCCCAAAGTGCAGTGAGCCACTGTGCCTGGCCCAGAGCCCCCTCTTTTTGGTCAGGAAGAGTGACATTGTTCTTCAAGGTGACTTTATTCCATGTCCAGGTTTGAGGAGTTCCTACAGCGGAAGTGGTCCTCTGAGAAGCGCTTTGGTCTAGAAGGCTGTGAGGTGCTGATTCCTGCCCTCAAGACCATCATTGACAAGTCAAGTGAGAACGGTGTGGACTACGTGATCATGGGCATGCCACACAGGTATGGCTGAGGGCGTGCCCCACCTCCTTCTCACCATCCCTGCAGGGTGTGTAGGAGGCACCAGGTAAAGAACTGAGAGAACAGCTGTTTCCTTCTCAAGTGCCAGTTGTGAGCCTGGGCTCATCTGATACCTGCGGGTGCCTTGTTTTGCAGGGGATTCTCACATTCCCTACCTCTGGAAGACTGCAAAGTCACTGTCACAGCCAGAGCCACGTGTAGTTTCAGACTGGCATTTGGCCTTACATTACATTTTTATGAAAGTTAAACCCAGGTTCCCTTGAGGGTTAAGCTGGAGGAAAGGCTGCTTCCTGACATTGGAGGGGAGGCCAAGACTTCAAAAATCGGAGATAGTGTGGGGAGGGAGGAGGGTAAGGAAGCCTCAGGCCCATGGCATTTCCACATCTTCTGCCTTTCTGTTGTCCACTGTGGCCTTGATTGTCTAGCACAGAGAGGCTCAGTGCCCACATTAGCTCCAGTTCACAGCATTCTTGGGCTGCAAACCGAGGAGGTGCTGTGTCCTGGAGGAGGGGAAGAGGGTAGGGATTATAACAGCCTCCCCGTCATCTGGAAGCCGTGACCTCGGGCTCTGCTCACTCTACTCGCCCATACGTTTCAGAGGGCGGCTTAACGTGCTTGCAAATGTCATCAGGAAGGAGCTGGAACAGATCTTCTGTCAATTTGATTCAAAGCTGGAGGCAGCTGATGAGGTGAGGCACCTGTGTAGAGACACATCCAGCAGAGCCCCAACTTACACGAGACCCCCGGCTCCACTTCTTTCTCAGAATAACTTATGAGGGGTTGATTCTTCTGTACCATTGTGGTTTGCCTTCCTTGTTGGAAGAATTTTAGTGTTGGAACAAAGGAGGGGGCCACTGTTCCACCTTCTGGTTGGAGGTCTAGCAGCGCCACGCTGAGTGCAGGGGTATATCCCCTCTGGCTGAGGGACCTTCTCCCTGTGCCCTGGGTAGGAATGATCCTGGGAAAAAGCCTCCATATTCTTCTACGTTGGGTTCCTGGGGTTAGAAATCACATATAAGGCTAGGCACAGTGGCTCACGCCTGTAATCCCAGCACTTTGGGAGGCTGAGGCAGGCTGATCACCTAAGGTTGTGAGTTCCAGACCAGCCTGACCAACGTGGAGAAACCCTGTCTCTACTAAAACACAAAATTAATCAGCATGGTGGCACATGCCTGTAATCTCAGCTACTTCGGAGACTGAGGTAGGAGAATTGCTTGAACCTGGGAGGCGGAGGTTGCGGTGAGCCAAGATTGCGCCATTGCACTCTACCTGGGCAACAAGAATGAAACTCTGTCTCAAAAATATGTATATATTTTTTTAAATTCCATATAAAATGGCTCTTTTGGAGACTGAGTGTCTTTTTGTCCAGGGTGCAAATTCACTGTTTACTCCATCAGGGCTCTGGAGATGTGAAGTACCACCTGGGTATGTATCACCGCAGGATCAACCGTGTGACCGACAGGAACATTACCCTGTCCCTGGTGGCCAACCCTTCCCACCTTGAAGCCGCTGACCCTGTGGTAATGGGCAAGACCAAAGCTGAGCAGTTTTACTGTGGGGACACTGAAGGGAAAAAGGTAAGGCCCAGAGAGAGGCGTGCAAGGCAGATCGTCGAGGCCCCATGTTCTAGCACGCAGTTCTGCTCACCAACATAACCCAGAGTCCTGGGTACATCTGGACTTTAAAAAAAATTTAAAGTCAACTTTAAAAGAATAGCAATAGTAAAATCGTCCTGCTTACAACGTGCCTTCTCCTGAAGTTGTAATCATCAGAACTATGTGGGGAGTGTGCTTTTGTCTTCATATCTGTGAAGGAGTCAGGTTTACAGTTATTCTGAATGGACGAAGAGATGTTTTCACTGAAAAGGAGGAGAGTTGGAGAGTCTCTAAGGAGAAAGTGCAGGTTAGCCTGAAGGAGAAATTGTAGAACTGAGACTTGTCAGGAAAGTCAGGCTTGCTCTGATCAGAGGCAGGAGTTCACAGGGCTGGTAGGAGACAGACCAGGGCATAGGCTGCACCTAGGTGGCCTACTTCACCATCTGAGTGCTGGGGGTTGCTTGCCAGCCTGCTTGTGTAGAAATAGTCTCAACAGATTGTAACTGTTTGCCCTTATTTAACCTCAAGATCCAATCTTGTCTAACAAATTTTATAGTTCTCATTAATGATGACTTAAATAATTAGAAAAAAATCAAATATTTGTAAGGTCTCGTATATGGGGTCTGGGAAACAAACAAAGAAGACATCATCACCTTTCTAGAGCCTCCTATTCTTTTTAGAAAAAGGATCATGTGTAAGGAAGCAAATAGCACATACAGAGCATGATAGGAAACTGTGGAGTTAGCCGCCAAGAGCTTTGGAAGAGGTATGCAGGGGTGTGGGCTAGAGTTGGACCAAGGATAGAAAGCAGACCCCCTTATCAGCAGAGCAGGTAGTCGTCATTTTATTTGAGAAGTGGCAGGATTTAGGTAGGTGGGAAGGTAAGAATGTTTTCTGGAGATGAAAGGTTAAGAGCAGAGACGCAGGGTGACTTGGGGACACAAAGCAGGGAGGGGCCAGCCTCCTAGTTGTGCCCCTGGAAAGAGGTCAGATCTATATTAGAAGTGGAACCAATTATTAGTTTACTGGGTTCTGTAATTTTACTACTGTCATGCTTAGAGGGTTAGAGGAAGAGAAACTGCCATCATAGGTAATGGAGTCTGGGCTGGGGAAGTGATCCCCCCGTCGATCAATGCTCGCTGTAAAGAACGAGCGTGAGCCACAGGGACGCAGAGGTCATTCCATGGCTTCAAGCTCATGGGGCCAGGACAGTGTCAGAAACTTCAACTAGATGCAGAGAGGCCTCAGCTCTGTTTGGGGAACCTGCAGCCCCTGCAGGCAGTAACAACACTTGGTGTCTGGGATGGGCTGGCCTGAGGTGAGATTGGCAGGGGGAGACCAGCATTGGGGTGACCAGTGCCTCTGGTATTTCTACCCTCCTTGGCTAGGACACTCACCCAGGCATTTGGGCTGAGGATTGGAATGAGATTACCAAAAACTTAGGTGACTCCTGCATTTGTAGATTTTGGACAAAAATACATTCTAGCAGTATTCAGCTCAGAATGCTGGAAATTTCCCAAAAAGGAATGAAATAATTCGAATAAAAGTATTAGAATATATTTTAAACTGCCACAGATGGTCATACTGATTGGTCCCTTCATGAGATGCCAGGACAGGAGAGGCTGCATGTAGCTGAGTCGGAATTGTCAGTCCCTTTGTTTTCCAGTCTACACAAACCATGTTGTCACAAGTTTGCCCTTGCCCCAGTGTGGATAGTCGCCAGTTCCCTTTCTGAGGCTCTTCGTCACCTTGTCTCAAGCCCTCACATGTCCCCAGCAGGGTCAGTGTGGGGTGTGCAGGCTCAGCCGTCTGCCTGTTCTTCTTACTCCTCTTGACACCCATAGAACATGATTTGATTTCTGTTAAATCCAGAACTCAGGGAGCTAAAGGATGTGTTATGTAACTCTCAGCATTTGTGAAAAATTACATACTTTCTGTAAGTGCAGCTGAGGTGGTCCCATAACCTTGTGCATGGTTGTGAAACACACCTAATCTGGCTCAGGGCTAATATGGCCTTTGGGATCTTTGTTCATGAAAGCATTTCCTCAGTGCAGCTATGCAACCTGCTGCAAAGGGAGAATGCACTGCTGCCAGAGGTACAGCTCAGGCTGCCAGACACAAGGAGATTCCCCTTGTGTGCTGGCTGTGATATCAGCAGCCAGTTACCACAGTCCAGTGTGACATGGCGGTTGCAATACAACATCACCAAGGTGATCAAGAAAAAATACCATGACAAGAGGAAGACTAACCACAGGTGCCCTGTCAGCACAAGACAGACTGTACCACGAAGTATCTGCAGGAAGAAGCAGCACACTGTGGGGATCAGGAATACATGAAATGTCAGTGACTCAAAACCAGTGGCTTTTACACGCAAGCAGCCACGGCATCATGGCAAAGCTGCACACCTCCAAGGGGGCCCCTAAGCAAACCAGACCCTTACGTCTACACGCCGCTATCCTAGTGAGCATCTGCCACATCCCCTAAAAGGCAGGACACCTGCAGTTCTGTTTTTTAAAATTCTGGCTTTTTTTTCTGACATGCAAATCATGGGTCTTCCCTTCCTACCAAGGGTGACTCAGCACAGTGCTGAGGACAAGGGTGGTCACAAGAATGCAGGGAGGTGCAGGTCAGTAGGCCTGTAGGCTGAGGACACAGCAGGAGAGAGTGTTATATATCACCTCAGCTAGCCAGTGTCCAGATTTTTTGCCAAACACCCATCTCGATGGCATTTTGTAAAGATAAGATTGGAACAATCCAAGATGGCCAATCGATAACAGCTTGGGATTGCAGCTCCCAGTCAAAGCGCAGAGAACTAGAGGACGCCACACTTTCAGACAAATTCTGGTCGCTCACAGAGCAGAAGATCCCCAGTGGAGGAACCACACGGGTCACCAGCGCGACTCTTCTGGGCGGCGCAGCGGCTTCGCTGGCACCTTGGCGCGGCAGCTTTCGGAGCAGAGTAAACAGGGCCGGCTCCCCTTCTGACCGAGGTTTGGAGGACCCACACGGGCCACCAGCGGGACTCCTGTGGCCGGCGCAGCGGCTGTGACGGCACTTCGGCGCGGCAGCTCTCGGCGCAGAGTAAACGAGACTGGTTCCCCTTCTGACCGAGGTTTGGAGCCCGGGGAAGGCAGAGTCGCCCATTACGGACACAAGAAGGAAGCCTGACAGGAGAATCCTGGGCAGAAAAGCACCATCAGTCTTAACGCTGCCATTCTGGCCCTGGGAACTAACAACCTAGACGCCCACTCAAGAGACCTAATCTGAAAGTTGGAAATTTCAAAGAAGACAGGAGGATAAATTTAGAATGATGGGAAGAAACCAGCGTAAAAAGGCTGAGAATACTCAAAATCAGAATGCCTCTCCCTCTAAAGATGATCACAGTTCCACATCAACAATGGAACAAGGCTTGACGGAGGATGAGCGCATCCCAATTACAGAATCACTCTTCAAGGAATGGATAATAAGAAACTTCTGTGAGTCAAAAGAACATGTAGTAGCCCAACGTAAAGAAACTAAGAACTTTGAAAAAAGGTTTGATGAAATCCTATTGAGAATAGACAACTTAGAGAGGAATATAAGTGAATTAATGGAACTGAAGAATACAATACAGGAACTCCGAGAAGTATGCACAGGTTTAAACACTCGATTGTTCAAGCAGAAGAAAGGATAACAGAGGTCAAAGTCCAACTTAATGAAAGAAAACAAGATTGAGATAAAAGGATAAAAAGGATGAGCAAAGTCTCCAAGAAATGTGGGACTATGTGAAAAGACCTAATTTACGTTTGATAGGTGTACCTGAATGTGACGGAGAGAATGAATCCAAGCTGGAAAATACCCTTCAGGATATTATTCAGGAAAATTTTCCTAAACTAGCAAAGCAGGTCAATATTCAACCCCAGGTAATACAGAGAACACCACAAAGGTATTCCTCAAGAAGAGCAACCCCAAGGCACATAATCATTAGATTCACCAGGGTTGAAACGAAGGAGAAAATACTAAGGGCAGCCAGAGAGAAAGGTCAGGTTACCCACAAAGGCAAGCGTATCAGACTTACAGCAGATCTCTCAGCAGAAACTCTACAAGCCAGAAGAGAGTGGGGGCCAATATTCAACATCCTCAAAGAACAGAACCTTCAGCCCAGAATTTCATATCCAGCCAAACTAAGCTTCACAACTGAAGGAAAAATAAAATCTTTTATGAACAAGCAAGTACTCAGAGATTTTATTACCACCAGGCCTGCTTTACAAGAGCTTCTGAAAGAGGCATTACACACAGAAAGAAACAACCAGTATTAGCCTTACTAAAAATATACCAAAAAGTAAAGAGCACCAACATAAAGAAGAATTTACATCAACGAATGGATCAAACAGCCAGTCAACATCAAATGGCAGTAACCCTAAATTTAAATCGACTAAATCCCCCAATCAAAAGACACAGCCCAAACCCAATGGCATGTTACATCCAGACCTGTTTCACATGCAAGGATACACAAAGACTCAAAACAAAGGAATGGAGAAAGATTTACCAACCAAATGGAGAGCAAAAATAAATAATTAAATAAATAAATAAATAAGCAGGAGTTGCAATTCCCGTAGAGGATAAAAGAGATTTTAAAGCAACAAAGATATAGTGGTAAAAGGATCAATACAACAACAAGAGCTAACGATCCTAACACCCAGATAACATAGAGACTTAGATTCAACGAGACAGAAAATTAATAAGGATATCAAGGACTCGAACTCAGATCCGGAACAAGTAAACTTAATAAATATTTATAGAGCTCTCCACTTCAAATACATAAAATATACATTCTTGTCAATACCACATCACACCTACTCATAGGTTTAAATGAAACATTTATTGGCCATTATTAATACCCATTTTTTTTTCAGAATAAAGCAATATTTCCGTTCACCTTCCCTCTCTCTCTTCCTCTTTCTTTCTCTCCTTTACTCATTTTTTTTCTTTCCTTCTCTCAAAAAAAGAAATCAACTTGTAAACCTCTAGATCCAGGTCAGCAATGTCTCTCTCATTGCTTGAATTCCTTCTTTCCCTTCCCTCCTTCCCTCCCTCCCTCCCTCCCTCCCCCCCTTCCTCCCTTCCTTCCTTCCTTCCTCCCTTCCTTCCTCCTTCCCTCCCTTCCTACCTTCCTCCCTTCCTCCTTCCCTCCCACAAAAAAAAAAAAAAAAAAAAGATTAACATTTAAACCAGTAGATTTTGAGTAAAGCAGATGATGTTACACGATGTGAGTGGGCTTCATCCAGTCAGTTCGGAGCCTTTGAGAAAAGACTGAGGTTCCCAGAAAAGAAGGAATTCTGCCTCCAGACAGTCTTCACACTTAAGCTGCAACATCAGCACTGCCGTGGGTCTCCAGCCTGCCAGCCCACCCTACAGACTTTGCACTTGCCAGCCTGGTTCCTTAAAAATCCATCATTCTCAGCCACGCATGGTGACTTATGCCTGTGATGCCAGCGCTTTGGGAGGCTGAGGCAAGAGGATTGCTCAAACCCAGGAGTTCCAAGACCAGCCTGAGCAACATGGTGAAACCCCATCTCTACAGAAAAATGCCAAAATTAGCCAGGCTTGGTGGCATGCACTTGTATTCCCTGCTATGTGGGGGGCTGAGGTGTGAAAATCACTTGAGCTTGGGAGGCAGAGGTTGCAGTGAGCTGAGATCGTGCCATTGCACTCTAGCCTGGCAGAGCAAGACCCTGCCTCGAAAGGAAGAAAGAAGAAAGAAAGAAAAATTCTCTCTCCCTTCTCCTCTTCACCCTATCGGTTCTCTCTCTGGAGAGCCCTGACTAATGCAAGGGTTTTGGAGAGGTGTAGGCTGTATATCCAAGGAGTAGAGGTGGTGGGCTTACATGATTATGGCATTGGGGACACCAAGCAAACCAGTAACAACATATCGAAGGCAGAGGGAATGGAGTGTCTTGCAGCTGTATGAGATATTTACAGGTGTGGAAGGAGGTGGCCTAGGAAAGTATTGGATTAAAAATTGTAGGTATCAATACAAGCTCATAGCTTTATTACATACACACACACACACACACACACACACACACACACACACACACACACAGAAATACATGCATATGCACATATATTTTTTAGGTCTGTGCTGAATGGGGCTAAAAATGATGCTATCCTGGCAGCGATGAGCACACAAATACTGGTCTTAAGTCCCATCCGCTACTGGAGGAACCTGGCTTCTTAGAGAAACAGCTCATACCGTACAAGGCTGCACAGGGACAGTACAACATGAAGCTGCAATGCTCTGTTTTCCAGGAAGCAAGGAAGTGCTCATGAATGAAAGGGACCTGTCCCTGTTGACAGGAAGGGGAGGCAGCTGGGAGGAGCTGCTCTTCACATCAACCTGAAACAGTGAGAGCACTGAAATAACTAACAATATTAATCATATAACCTGTCGAATAAAATAGGAACCGTGAGTACCTCTTAACACAGTCAATAAACAAAGGAGAAGCGAAGGCTCTTCCTTGCAGAAAATGCCAACGAATAAATGTAGGAGTAACAGAAACTGGTATTTGCCATCAAACCAGCCCCACCCAAGGGACTGGTTTAGGTGTGGTTGTCAATATTGCTGAGGCTGGAGTGGAGGCTTGAGGAAGAACAGGATATAAAGTTTCTTCTCCCAGAACACTATCACTGTACTCATTGCCAAGGAAAACAATGATGAGTGAAGGGGAGGATGGCAGACAGCAGCCTCCCAGGTGAGCAGAGTTAACTTGACCTGATGCAGTGTGTCCTTCCTAAGTGGGGACCCAAGGCCTGTCAAGGGTGCAAAGGCAGAAAGCATGAGGAGCTACTCCAGGTTGAAGGAGAATAAGAGACCTGGCAAGCGATGCTGCCCTCCCATGTGTGGTCTGGGGCGGATGGCTGAGCTAGCGCTGCCCTTCTGGAAAAGGATCCAGGTGGCCATGTTGGAGAGTGGCCTAGCAGTGCATTGGGTCTATAGCTCTCTCAGTGCTCAGAGCAGATGATGATGGCAGAATGGCAGGGTGTGTAGGTGTTGAGCAGACACACCAAGGTGCTAGCATATTGGGGACCTGGGGTCTTGTGGACTTTCCTACTACTTTCTATGTTTGAAATTATCTCAAAGTGTTAATTTTTGAAAAACATGATGTGTTTTCACTGTTTGCCCTGTGGACTTGACAATCAGAACATTTTGGATTTGGGATCTCCTTTGATGTCTGCAGGTCATGTCCATCCTGTTGCATGGGGATGCTGCATTTGCTGGCCAGGGCATCGTGTACGAGACCTTCCACCTCAGCGATCTGCCATCCTACACAACTCATGGCACCGTGCACGTGGTCGTCAACAACCAGGTACCTCACACCAGCCTCAGGCTTTGCTGCTCACATCAGTCTTACTTAGAATGACATCTCTGAGTTATTTAGGACATTACTGTTTTCTGATTATAAAAATACATCTGTTATTAAACACCGGGTGCAGTGGCTCACGCCAGTAATCCTAGCATTTTAGGAGGCTTAGGAAGGAGGATTGCTTCATCCCACAAGTTTGAGACCAGTCTGGGCAATATCTCTATTAAAAAATTGAAAAATTAGCACTGGGCGGCTGGGCGTGGTGGCTCACGCCTGTAATCCCAGCACTTCGGGAGGCCAAGGTGGGTGGATTACCTGAGGTCAGGAGTTCGAGACCAACCCGGCCAACATGGTGAAACCCTGTCTCTGCTAAAAATACGAAAATTAGCCGGGCATGATGGCAAGTGATCGTAATCCCAGCTACTCAGGAGGCTGAGACAGGAGAAATGCTTGACCTGGGAGAAGGATGTTGCAGTGAGCCGAGATTGCGCCACTGCACTCCAGCCTGGGCGATAGAGCAAGACTCCATCTCAAAAAAAAAGGAAAAAGAAGAAACTGGATTCCATGTATCCATGTACACAGCTTTATATCCACTTTTATTTACCACATATTTGCCCATATCATTACATATCCTTTTAAAATAATTTTAATGGAAATACAAGTTGTTTCATAAAATGGACTCTTAGGATTCTCATTTTTTATTTCCAATAATGCTGTGATGAACATTCTTGTGAGTATTTCTGCCCAGGCCTGATATGTATCACCTTTTGTACCTGTTAGGTCCTCCCGCTAAGCCATAGCTAAATGTTCCTCTCACCAATGCATGTGAAATTTCTGTAACAGACATTCTAGTGCCTTTTAACTCTAGGTACTCTACTAGGTACTAGACAGAGCACAGGTGCTCCCTATCATCACAGACCTTCTAGTTTAGTGCAGGGTCAGGGGGCTCATAGACAATGCCATGAAGTGGGTGTGGGAGATGTTCTGCAAGATGCAGAGTTAGTCAGCTGACGATTCTCTGAGGATTTGACATTTAAGTGGAAACTTCAAGGTCAGGTAGGCAAATTTGGGGAGCATCGGATCAAGTCAAGGGAGAGATCCTAAGTGTCCGAGGGAGTGGGCAAGGCCATCACAGCTCATGGTTAGTGCAAGAGAGAACTGCCATCAGCCAACTCCTGAGGAAAGCTCAGTCCAGTCGCATTGGGAGGCCATTGGAGAGATTGATGCAAGGAAGTAACGAGATACTGGTTGGCTATAAAATGATTGGTTATAGTGCAGAATGGATTAGAGGAGGACAGAGAAACAGATGCAGCTATCTCAGCAAAAAGTAGAGAGAGAAAGGGAAAAATTTAAATAAGTAAATATGGTCACTAAGTAGCAAACACTAAAGAGCTCAAAATTTAAGAGGTCAAATACTAAGAGACGGTGAGAACATTATCCAGTGTAAATATAACACACAATATGGTAAAAGCTACCACTTACTGTCTACTGTGTCCCAGATACTGAATTAGGTACTTTATGTACATTAACTTAATTTGTAGGGTAGTTACCCATGCAGTGAGTGGTATTATTCCCACTTTACAGAAGTGAAAAGTGAGGAGCAGAGACATTGAATAGCTTACTAGAGGAAATGATAGAGTCAGTATTTGACCTGCTTTCTTTCAAAGAATAGTGCTAGAAGACCTGAAAAATACCAAGGGAACAGAGAAGTCTAAAAAACAACCAACCTCACTACTGAACCGAGTTTTTTTCTATTTGTTTTACTGTGGTAAAATATACATAAAATTTACCATCTTAACTATTTTTCAGTGTACGGTCTGTGTGGTAAATACATTCACAATATGTGCAGCCATCACCACCATCCATCTCCACAACTGTTTCACCTACAGCAGAAACTGCACACCCAATCAACATGAACTCCCAGTCCCTGCTTCCCCACCCCCAGCCCCTGGCAGCCACCCACTCAGCTTTCTGTCTCTGTCATTGTGACTACTCTGAGGACCTCATAAAAGTGGAATCGTAGTATTTGTCTCTTTGTGCCTGGGTTATTTCACTTAGCAGAATGTCCTCAAGGTCCATCCATGTTAGAGCATGTGTTAGAATTTCCTGCCTTTTTAAGGCAAAGACTATCCCACTCTATAAGTAAAATATATCACATTTTGCTTATTCATTCATCAGTGGACACTAGAGTCTTCCACATTTTACCTATTATGAATAATGCTGCTATGATGCTGTGAACATGTATGTCCGTATATCTCTTTGACACCTGCTTTTTTTTCCCCCTTTGAGACGGGGTCTTGCTCTGTCGACCAGGCTGAATTGCACTGGTGTGATCATAGCTCACTGCAGCCTCCAACTCGGGCTTATGCAATCCTCCCACCTCAGCCTCCCAAATAGCTGGGATTACAGGTCTGCACCACCACACTCGGCTAATTTATTTTTAATTTTCTTGTACAGATAGGGTCTCTCTGTGTTGCCCAGGCCACTCTAACTTTTGGACTCGAGCAGTTCCTTCCTGTTGGCCTCTGAAAGTGCTGGGATTACAGGCATGAGCCACTGTGCCTGACTGAAACCCTGCTTTCAGAAGGGGAGTGGAATTGCTACATCATCTGATAGTTTTATTTTTAACTTTTGAGTAACTGCTTATTAGTTCTAATTTTCTTTTTGGAGGATTCTTTCTGTTTGGATAGTCCTGTGGCTTCAAATAGAGAAAGTTATTTTTCTTCCTTTCTAATCCATATGTATCTATCCTTTGTTTTGTTTTGTTTTGTTTCCTATTGCACTGGCTAGGACCTCAACACATTGTTGAAGTGGATAAGAGTGGCCATCCTTTCCTTGTTTCCTGCTTTTGGAGGAAAGTGTTCAGTATATGATCATTAAATATGATGTCAGCTATAGATTTTTTTATAGATGTCCCTTACCATGGCTAAGGGAGTTCCTTTATGTCTCTAATTCTGTGGACAGTAAATGTTATAATGAATGGATGCTTATTTTTGTCAGTGTTCTTCTGCACTCCTTGAGATGACCATATACTTTGCTAATGATGAAGTACATTGATTTTCAAATGTGGAATTTTTGTCCGTGTTCATGAGGGATATTGATCTTTTGCTGTAATGCCTTTGTCTGATTTTGGTATCAGGGTAATGCTGGCCTCATGAAATGTTGAGAAGGTTCCTGTTCTATATTCTGAATGAGTTTCTGTAAAATTAATGTTATTCCCTTCCTAAATGACTGGTAGAATCCAACACTGAAAGACTTTTGGGGGCTTACAGTTTTCTTTGTGGGAAGATTTTTCTTTTTTTTTTTTTTTTTTTTTTTTTGGTGGGGGAATGTAGTCTTGCTCTGTCACCCAGGCTGGAGTGCAGTGGCACAATCTTGGCTCTCTGCAACCTCACTTCCTGGGTTCAAGCATTTCTCCTGCCTCAGCCTCCTAAGTAGCTGGGACTACAGGTGCCCACCACCACGCCTGGCTAATTTTTGTATTTTTAGTAGAGACGGGGTTTCACCATGTTGGCTAGGCTAGTCTCAAACTCCTGACCTTAGGTGATCCCCCTGCTGCATCCTCCCAAAGTGCTGGGATTACAGGCGTGAGCCACTGTGCCCAGCCATATTTTCTTTGTGTAGTTTTCAGAAGTTTGATGTATCTTGGCATGGATTTCTCTTTGTTTTTTCTTTTTTTGAGACAGTCTTGTTTCTTCACCAGGCGCCAGGCTGGAGTGCAGTGGTGCGACTTTGGCTCACTGCAACCTCCACCTCCCGGGTTCAAGTGATTCTCCTGCCTCAGCCTCCCAAGCAGCTGGGACTACAGATGCGTGCCACCATGCCCAGTTAATTTTTGTATTTTTAGTAGAGACGGGGTTTCACCATGTTAGCCAGGATGGTCTTGATCTCTTGACCTCATGATCCACCTGCCTCGGCCTCCTAAAGTGCTTGGATTACAGGTGTGAGCCCTGAGCCACTGTGCCCAGCCATCTTGGCATGGATTTCTTTGGGATTTCTTGTTTGGGATATGCACAGGTTTTTTTAATTTTTTTTTTTTTTTTGAGATGGAGTCTAGCTCTGTCGCCCAGGCTGGAGTGCAGTGTAATGACCTCGGCTCGCTGCAGCCTCCGCCTCCTGGGTTCAAGTGATTCTCCTACTTTAGCCTCTTGAGTAGCTGAGACTACAGGCACCATGCCTGGCTAATTTTTGTGTGTTTAGTACAGACAAGGTTTCATCATGTTGGCCAGATTGGTCTCCAACTCCCGAGCTCAAGTGATCTGCCTACCTCAGCCTCCCGAAGTGCTAGGATTACAGGCATGAGCCACCATGCTGAGCCAAAAAAAAAAAAAACAGTTGTTTTTTTTTTAATTTTTAGACAGGGTCTCACCCTGTTGCCCTGGCTGGTGTGCAGTGGCACAATCTAGACTCACTGCAGCCTCCACCTCCGAGGCTGAAGTGATCCTCTCACCTTGGCCCCCTCAGTAACTGGGACTGCAGGCATGCACCATCACACCTGGCTAATTTTTGTATATTTTGTAGAGACAGGGTTTCGCCATGTTTACTGGTCTTGAACTCCTACTTCAAATGATCCACCCTCCTCAGCCTCCCAAACTACTTGGGATTACAGGCATGAGTCACCACACCCAGCCTGCTCAACTTTAAACATTGTATTTTTTAACAGCTTGATTGAGATATAGTTCACGTGTCATATAATTTATCCATTTAGCAAGGCTGTAATTAAGTGGGTTTTAGTATATTTATAAATGTGTGCAACTCTCAGTTGATTTCAGAGCATTCATCGCCTCGAGGAGAAACTTTTCATCACTTAGTTATCATACTCCTACCCCTGCATCCTCCCAAGCCCTTAGCAACCACTAATCTGCTTCCTGTCTCTCTAGATGTATTCATTCTGAAATGTTCATATTAATTAAATCATATAATATGTGGTCTATATCAGTCAGTAAACATTTAGATTGTTTCTGCTTCTGGGCTATGATAAATGATGCTGCTGTGGGCTGGAC